AGCTCAGACTCTGGCACAGGATCGGGAACGTTGGGAGCACTGTCTGACGCGTCTGCCTCCGCGACCCGAATGGAGAAGCGGTGATGGAAGATGCAGAACATTAATTAACAAAAGATTCAAACTCATGATTAGTCAGCAGCTAAGCGTCTTAGACAGCACCGGATAACTCAGCACTAACGAAAAGTTTTTGTTTCAGATAGTTTTCGTCGTATTCGAAATGATCGTTTCCCTTATGCTTATCAACATGTTGATCGCTTCCATGGCTCGAACCTATGAACAAATTGCTGAAACACAAATGGAGTGGAAACGACAGGCGAGTGTCTAAGAAAGTTTAAACTATTCAAACGTGGCAGCGATGTAAATGAGTAGGGAATACATATCTCAACTTAAAATTTTTCTCTATTTTTTCATAGTTTTTAAAGTATCGAATTTTCTGCTCCTTCCCTTCTTGATGTTTATCATTTTATTGAAATCAATTATGACGTAGAATGAAACTAATATGCTCTATAAGACTAAACCTTGAATTTAGTGGGCAAAAGTGATTTGGATACTTGAACAGTCACTGAGCCCAACAAAGCGTCTGCACGCGATGATGAAATATTCCAGGCCTGTCGGAACTGACCGTAAAAAAAGGGCATTTGTCATAATGGGCAGAGAAGAAACAGTGAGCAGTTTCGAATATTTCAATTATTCTGCAAATACTGATTATTTGTTTAGCATGAAACTCCTAGCGATGAAATCTCGATGCCCGAAATGAAGACGAAAATTGGTGAGAATGACGTTTCAGCCAAAAAGAAAGCATTCTACAAGAATCATTTGCGAAATGAACTCTACTTACACGTTTCGAAGCTTATGTAATATTCTGCAAAAATAACAAATGCTGTGACACTCTCAATTTCCAAAAAGAAAAGTCGATGCATCAAGATGCATTGGACTATCGTAAATCCGATTATCTGGTTGTTCTCTATGTCACTAATAAATAAAATTTTTCCCATTTTCCTACACGCCTGATCAATTCATTTTCTTTATGTTCTGTAAACAATGGGCAAAAATCTGCAACTGCTGAGAGGATGATCTCCGTCACTAGTGGCACATTTCTTTCATGGAGTTTTGTCATTATCCAGAAGAACGTTGATACTATTTTTAGGGTTATATCTGTTGTCGCACAATATACCTTACAATACAGGTGTAAATGGTTTCCTGGCAGCAATGGTAGCAGAACATGAAGTTCCAATGCAGATTTAACTATGCTACTGAGGTCTCAAGTTACCAACTAAGGGAGATACTGAGACTCCTTCTGCGAATATGGTCCGACAAGTTTGGGTAGTTGCAATGCGCCTCCAATAGATCAGCTAGCAAATAATTTTGAAATTACAGAAGAAGATGAGTGCCAGTACCCTTCGCGTTTCTGGACCGGCGGTAAGCCCTCTAAAAATATTAGGAGCCAAACCTCAACAATCGCTTTAAAATTATATTCGACACAGTTATGTTCCATCTTTGCATCTGCATTTAGCCATAACTAACGAGACGGGCGTTTTTGGGACGCATGGAGATTTTACACGAGTTCCCATTCCTTAACATCCAAAGGTGAAAAGGGACTTGCTTCCCATCGCTAACTTATCCACACTACTGAAAGCAATAAAAATGTTGGTATTATTCTTTGTAAAGAATACCATCTCTGTCGTTGAGGATCCCTGACAGTTTGGCTGCAAAAATAATTGCTGCATTCCTTGAACACTCTCACCTCCTACGTTGACTTTGTGGGCACGAAACTCGATCAAACGCGTTACTTCATACGCTGCCTTCTGATCAACTACAGCATCACGTTTAACTGAGTTACAAGAGCAGAATTGTCTTTTCACGGGATTAATCCATGCATATAGCGGTGGTTGTCTGAATATTTTTTCCACAGGACACTGTTTACAGGGATGGGCAAAAATGATTTATTCAAAACAACAGTACCGCAGTTTCTCAGGCTTCAGTATTTTCATCAGTTCTGTATACCTTTCACAAAAGTAGTTTACGCACACGAAGTCATTTTGCGTCTTCCGGAATAAAGCAAGCGGACTACACCGCTATATGCCTGGCTTCGTCCACAGATAACCAGCTTGTTTATAATCTTAAAACTAAAGAAATACTGTCACTTTTAACATCTCATAGATTGTTGTCAATTAATCGAAATGCGCGGGACATGCCTTTTCCACACTATTCGTAAGACATTGTTGATAAACTCTGGCTGATTAACCTACAGTTATGGATGACTCGCAGCTGTCGGTCTTTGTAACTCAGAAAAATCTCGATTTCACCTTCAGCAACAGCTTATCCTGCTATGGGCATGCAAAAGGGTGATTGGTAAGATTCATTAACTGTGTTACTTTTTGCGTCGGCTTAGGCAGGTCGCAGTTATGTAAAAATTGTTTTCATTTGCATGCTTCCAATAAAAACTTATGGCAGTCATGTGCTCTTCCCAGCGCTTCACAAAAACAATGTCATGCTACTGCGCCCCCTGCATCAAGCGAATTTTCTGAACCAGTGGAATCAACATAAAAAAGCTGATGACATAAGGCAGTGTAGCAGGACGTCATGGCAACAAGCCACTTGGATTGAAATTTCTATTAAGTCTTGCTAATCATTAATACCGTAATACCGTATTCTAGTGCGCAGACACTCAAAAAGGCTAGACATTCGATCAAACCACGTTCTTATCCGCGCTCGAACTGAAACGTACTGAGAGTAAGTCGTATGTTCCTATTCATCGCTCGTTCGTTTGTTGCCTCCGACGCTCTTATTCCTCTGACTGCGCCTGATTGTTGTAAAGCACTCAGTCGAATTGTTTCGCTTTTTGACTTGTTTCTGTTTACCGGTTATTTAGTTCGTTTGTTTGTCTGGCGAGTCGCTAAAAACTAAAACACTTCATACCTTAAGCAGTTAAACAGTATCACTGACAAAGAATAAAATTTTTAATTTCACACAACTGCCACAGCCACATTGTTATAGTTCCAAAATGTTAATTGTTTTATGCATTCCTACTAATGTTAGCTCTGTTGGTAACGAAACGCGTCAAATGAAAACTTTCTATCTTGCATGCGCCAAACATGTAATCCATTAATGATTTTTGGATCTAGAATCAAAAATTTTCAAGGAAATTTTAATGAGATTTATATTGTAATGGTTTTGTTGTTTGTCTATGACCTCATTATTTTG